TAATATGAGAAACTACTTTGGCAGTAACAATACACAATGTACTAACCATTCTTACTCTCCTAAAATCTTGTTTTGAGATTTTGTACCATTGTTTTTATTTTTTTTTTCTTTAAAATAAAAATAACTGATGTCAAAAAAAAAGAACTCAAAAGAAGAAATACAAATAGAAAGGTATAATACAAGTAAAATGAAAGCAAGAACCCGAGGACTAATTAATTAAGAGACGGAAAGGAGAAGAGCTAGGAAACATGACAGTGACAAGCCATACAGTTATATGTAAAAGATGGGTAAGGCAATGATCCTGAGAATCTTCAGAAGATTTTTGAATCTAGCAGTTAATTGGAAAGATTCTCATCCTGACTAACTATATATACTGACACCTGTGAACTAAGCAACTGCACTGAAGATGGCAATTTGTAATAGCAGGTTCATGCTTGGAGTGCCTGTCATTCTGGTCTTCTGAATATGGGCTGCTTTTCATGATATGCCAGTTGCTGCTGTGTTGTCTTTCAGGTAGATGATTGTTCAAAAATAAGGGGGTGGTGAATGAAGGCAGGAGACAGGAAAAGTAATGTTGTGGGACTGTCCTGCTTCAAGGTTGTATATGGTTAAATTTCTGGGCTTATATGTAAACATAAGAATTATATAATTCTTTATGCCTATTTTAAAAATGTATTTTAACTTTTAAATTTTTTTTCATCATATTCTGTAGGGACTTAAAATTCAACATATCAATACTTGATGAAAAATACCTGTTCCATGTTATGCCTAAAATGTTTGATATTCAGACAGATAGTGAGGTTAAGTTTAACAGCCTAGGTTGTATGGTAATAACAAAAAGCTTCTCTTCTGAAGGGTTAATAACCTAAGTTTGCAGACCAATATTAGAGAAAAAGGAGGGCCACAAGGAAAGCCAACATTTTGGCCCTAGAATTCCAAGATGAATTAAGACTCAGGACATATGAGAACTTGTACTGTAACATCATGTAACTCAGTAGTGTTCCAAATTTTCTGATCAAGGAGATTATGGGGCCACAGAGGAAAGTGATTGATGATGTAGAGTGTGCCTAAGCAGAGTCCCATGGAGAGAAAACATTCTTTCAGGCTTTCACAGAGAGCACATTGGCCAAGCAATGGCCGTGACTCATCCACATGGCTGACACTGACAAAGGTTCTACAATCTGAGGTACAGGATCTCAGGATAAATCCTCAGGGGATTTGACTGACCTTATCAGATCCAAAAGCTACAATTTTGTTGCATAGTTCTTGCTTTATCTTGGTCTTAACCATCCAGCAGAAAAGTATAAAAATTAAGTATAAGAAGTAAAGCCATGTTGTTATGTTGAGCTGTAGGGGACTCAGGTCAACAATTTCTGACATTGCCAGTGAAGTGGAAGACTCAATACTATTATGGACTACTGGACTCTTGTAGAATATTTTGCTGAGTTAACACACCTATAATATTCAAATAACAGAACTAAAGATAAAAGGGGATACAGATGAATGTCCATTTTGTATCTGTGTATTCAAAATGTTTAGGATAGATATATAGTTGTATTCTCTTAATGAATAGAGGGATTTGTTCTCATAGTGTTTGTAAATAGGATATCATGTCTGCATCTTGTACAGCAAATAACCACTAGGAAGAATGTATACAATGTGTTAATTATTGAAACTGTCCTACCAATTTGGTTTGAAACTGTCTCAATGCTACTTGTTTCTCAATAAAATTATGGGGAAAAAGAAAAAAAACACAAAATATCAAAACAACAGAGAAAAATGAATTAAACCAAAAGCTCATTCTTTGAAATGATCTGTTCAGTTTCAAAATCTCTAACTAGACAGAAAAAAAAAGAAAGAAAAAAGTGAGGATGGGGCAAGAAAGAAAGAAAAAACAGAATATGCACATGTGAACAATACTAGGAAAGAGAGATGATGTAATTTCAGAATCTATAGCAAAGAAAAATAAGAGAATACTCTAAGAAATCTTTAGGCCAATAAAATTTGACAATCTAGGTAGAATGATCATTTGCCTTATAATAGATAATTTTTGAATAGTACCTCTTGAATAAATTAGTACCTATTAAGAAAATTTAAATTACAGCTAAGCTAAGGCCCAGATAGCTTTACTGATAAAATCTGCCAAACATGTATCAAAGAAATAAAACTCAACAAATCTCTTCCAAATTTATAAAAGACTTTTCTACCTGAAGATTCCTCCAGGCTTATATCAACTTTCAGATCATTCAAAGATTTCTTAGGGAACTGTAGAATACCTCAAGGTATTGTGAAATCTACCTCATCCTCCTGGAACCTGACAGTATCATCTCAACTTTGAGATAAGTGTAAATCTCAGGTGAGCCCTAGCAGATCTAGAAGCAGGGCTAGTGGTATGGCTGGACAGGCTGCTAGAATAACAATACATAGTGCCACAGAGCTACTGCAGAGGCACAAAGTGAGCTTTGGCCCATGCTCCATGACTTGATTAACAGGAATAACTGTTTAACTTCATACATTCATTTTTTCCATAGCTAAGATCCAGAAGCTCATCATGACGTAGGCTATAATCTATGTTTTATTTCTCCATTTATTAACTACCTAACTTTGGTCAGTAATTCCACCTCTCAGATCAATCCCCAGCGTGCTGTGACAGCCCCACCCCGAGACGGCAACTGAGACTGGGCATGGTGGCATGCACCTGTAATCCCAGCATTTGGGAGACTGAAAACAAGATTACTGTGAGTCTGATCTGTATAGTGAAACCCCATAAACCCTGTATTAAATACATTTAAAAAATTCCACCTCTCTAGGTTTATTTATCTGTAAAAATGGATAAATTCATTTAATAAAGATGTGTATGGTAAGACCATTATGCCACATGAAGTTCTTATAATAATGTATCCAACAAAAACAAGCCTCTTCCTCTCTTATTGTACTAAATGTGCACAAAATAATTGTTTGGAGAAGAATGTTGGGTTCTCTCTCATGCATGATAATAACTTATAAGGAAGATATTCCAGTTTCTGTTGGGTGACAAAAGAACTTGAACACATAATCTATGCAACAACTGGACTCGTTCTTCAAAAACTTACCTTAGCTTCATATTTTTCAATATAAGCATTAAGTCTCCCAGCTTTAAAAAATGGTATCTATAAAAAAAATTCAGATTTGGACTTAACATAAATATATAAATAATGTTATACATATAGATTTTCAGCATAGTAGAGCAGAAGGCACAGAATTGCACCATCATTCTAGCAGCACCTTGCCTTCAAATAGTGCTATTACCTCACTGAGCTACACTCAAGGAGAACAGTCTGAAAGTGAAGAAAGCCTCTCTGGCAATGACATGACTCCAGAAGTCACATGAAGAAAAAGGCTAATTAATCTTACATGTAAATATTTAATGCCTTTCTTAATATGCAATAAATGCTTAGGTGCAAATCAGGGAAATGAACACAAATCAAGTTCAAAATGCCTAAGTACTCCAACTTATTCAAGAAAGAAATACAAATTAAAGAGAAAAAAAGACAAATTAAAGAAAGATATTTTTAACCTACCAGATTGGCAAATACAAGTATCTAAAGACTGCTAATCTAGTATTTGTGAGGGTCCACAAAAGCAATTCCCTAAGGAATCAATTTCTTAGATGATATCTGCTAACTTGTAACCCAGCACAAACTTTTTAGTCAGCAGTTTAGGAGCATCCATACTTTAAGAGGTGTTGGGCTAAGAAGATAACTCAGCAGCACAAGTGCTTGCCTGGTAAGCACAAGGTCCTGAGTTCAAGTTCTAATATCAAAAAAACAAAAAATGTGTTGCAATCTCATTTATAAATATTTAATCCTTATAAACTACCAGACAAATAAAAATGATATACTTTCTCTTTTTTTATTTATTTTTATGTATTTGGCAAAAAATGACATACTTTCGCTTTCGTCTCAGCCACCGACATGCCCTCCATACTAAGGAAGACCCAGAAACTTCGGAGCCATGTGGGCCATGGTCATGGCTGCATCAACAAGCACCGGAAGCACCCCAGAGGCTGAAGTAATGCTGGTGGCATGCATCATCACAGGATCAGCTTCAACAAATATCTCCCAGGTTACTTTGGGAAGGTTGGTATGAGGCATTATCCCTTAAAGAGAAACCAGAGCTTCTGTCCAACTTTCAACTTTGATAAATTGTGGACATTGGTCTGTGGGCAGTCATGAAATGCTGCCAAAAATAAGACTGGAGTAGCTCCCATCATTGATGTAGTGCAACTGGGCTACTACAAAGTTCTTGGGAAGGGAAAGCTCCCAAAGTGGCCTGTCATCGTGAAGGCCAAATTCTTCAGCAAAAGAGCTGAGGAGAAGATCAAGGGTTTTGGGGGTTCCTGTATCCTGGTAGCTTGAAGCCACTGGACAGAAGGCTCATTAAAATGTTAACTAATGGTTTAAAAAAAAAAATACACTTTCAATGAAAGGTTTTGTTTGTTTGTTTTTAATACAGGATCTTGCGGTGCAGCTCAGATTCATAGTGATCCTCTTGTCTCAGCCTTCTCAGTGCTGGGATCATAGGTGTGTACCACCACGCCCAATTTCCACTGGGCATGGTAGGCTGGAGTTCCAGGACTAGCATGGCATGCAGTACCAGCGATAGAACACAGGACCTTGCACTTGCCAGGCAGGCACTTAGACCACTGGGCTATCACCTCAGCCCCCAGTGGAAGTTTTTTAGCACTGTTTGCAATAATGCAAACTAGAGACTCAGATATACATTAAAAGCATTAAATAATTACTGCACAACAATATAATGAAAAATTTTACAGCCATAAAATAGGGAACATATATGTATTAATATGGAAAGACATCTAGGAAAGTCTGTTAAAAGAGTGCTAATATGCAAGTTTCAGAGTAGTGTGCATAATAATTCTATTTTTTTTTTATATAGGAACTTACTGTGTAATGCAGGCTGGCCTTGAATTTGCTTCTTTAGCCCAGGCTAGCCTCAAACTCTTAGCAATCCTCCTGCCTCAGCCTCCTGAGTGCTAGAATTACAGGCACACGCCACCACACCCAGAAATAGTCCAAGTTTTTACTTCAGTTTTGTAAAAATTTTTACAGACTATACACCTTTGTAAAAAGCAAAACATTTTTTCAAAATATATGACTACTCTCCACTTATTATTAATCTTTCTAAGATTAGGACACTTGAATTCATTAGAACTCTAAAATAAAATCCTCATTATTCCATAACAATTTTCAGCAGAAAAAAATACAAATATGAGACATTGATCTACATTTTCACCAACACTTTATCTTGAAAACTGAGTTAAAGATCAGATAACATATGGACATATTTCTAATACGTAGAACAGTAAAAGAACTGACAACTTTATTGTTAGCAATAAATTCTGATGGATTCTGAGGATTCGAAATCTTAGAAAAATAATATTTTCAGAAAGATTAGGATATAATTTTTTTTTTTTATATAGGGTCTTTGTAATGTAGGCTGGCCTTGAACTTACTATGTAGCCCAGTCTGGCTTTGAACTTGCAGTGATCCTCCTGAATCAGCCTCCTGACTGGGGATAACAGGCATGCGTCATCACACCCAGCTTCAGGATATAATTTTTTTAAAGATTTTTGACACTTATTTATTATTTCTCTTATATTCAACATTGGGAAATGTGTTTCCAATTTCACAAAGTATAAAAATTTTTAAATACAAATTCTAATTAAAATAAACATTGAGTTAGTAATAAGGTTCAACAACCCACCAGGATTGACTGTCATTGTTGACACATTTACTAGAACACATGTCTCAGAAGATGATTTTGGTTTTCATTTGTGGTAAAGTTACAATGGAATTCTAATATGAAATTTAAAACACCACATAAACATTTAAAAAAATAAAATAAAATAAACATTGATCTAAGTTCTTCAAAACTAGTTGATTTATTTAAATGAGAAACTTCTTCCTTAGGTGTAAATCTAAAGAATAAAATATGGTAGCCAGGTGTGGTGGCGCACACCTATAATTGTAGCACTCAAGAGACTGAGGCAGGAGGATTGCTGCAAGTTTGAAACCAGTCTGGCTACAAAGTGAACTCAATGTCAGCCTGAACTGCACAGCAAGACCTTGCCTAGAAAAAGACCAAAATTTAAAAAAAAAGAAAGGAATAAAACATGGTTTAAAAAAATTAAGGTTTTTCACTTACACTGTAAAGCCAGGCATACTGGCATGGCCTGTAATTCAGTACTGTGTAAATCTAAGGGAGGAAGATCATCAAGTTTGAGCCCAGTTTGGCCAATTTTGACATTCAGCAAGACTTTGACTCTAGATGAAAAATTTAAAAAGGGCTGGGACAGCCAGGCATGATGGCATACATTTATAATCCCAGCAGTTGAGAGGCTGAGGGGGAAGACTGCCTTGAATTCAAGGTCAGCCTGGATTACTGAGTGAGTTTAATGGCAGTCTGAATTACAGTGAGACTCTGTCTCGAAAGAAAGAAAGAAAGAAAGAAAGAAAGAAAGAAAGAAAGAAAGAAAGAAAGAAAGAAAGAAGTGGGGGCTTAGATGTAGCTCAGTAGGAAGGCCTAACTAAGGTCCAGTGCTCAGTACCACCACCACTAATAAGTAACAATAATAAAAAGAATAATGCCAATAGTAGTTAAGTCTATCTTTCTGTTTATGACAGAGGCAACAAGATATTAAAACATAAACATCAGGTATATCACAGTTAAGTCTTTAATAGCTCAAACTACAACAGAGTGATTAATCCTCACAAGCAGTCATCAATTTCAGCCATACAATCTGAATTACTGTTTATCAAAATTGCCCCCAATAATCGGTAATACGAACCGCCATGACCACCCAAATTTGGTTGAAGATTCCAGGTACTGGTGCTGCAAGAATATCTTCATGTAAAAGTAGTAGTTGTCTGCAGGGAAGAAATGTGTTACTTTCAAAGAGGACTCACCCACCATGCTTTTTCTTTACTGGAATATTTGCATAATTTTCTTAGTCAAAAACACCAAGTTTCTTCAGTCTACAACTCTATCACAAATTTCTGTGTCTCTCTCCATACTTAGTATTGTACCTTGAACATGGTAGGGACTCAATAATGTTTGAATTAAGAGAATTATAAAGTTTTGTATACCAGTAGTAAACTGAGAATCAATCCTGCATCTGAGTTTCCCAATGTCTTTTATCTGTAAATCTAAATTCTTTAAAATTCCATTACTGTTGCAAGTATAGACTTGAACAAAATCTAAACACTGAGGAATTCCCCTCTTTTAACTCTTATTCTACCCTTATTTTCCTTGCAGTTATACGAAGCCCAGTTTGGCCAATTTGACATTCAGCAAGACTTTGACTCTAAATGAAAAACTTAAAAAGGGCTGGGACAGCCAGGCATGGTGGCACATATTTATAATCCCAGCACTTGAGAGGCTGAGGAAGGAATCTGAGTAGTTATCAATTCAAAATGTCACCTATTAGCTAGATTCTTTTCCTTCAAGAAGGAAATTCTTACAGATGAATGTCCATTTTGTATCTGTGTATTCAAAGTGGTTGGGATAGATATATAGTTACATTCTGTTAATGAATAGAATGATTTGTTCTAATGGTGTTTGTAAATAGGATCACAAGTCCGCATCTTGTACAGCAATTAACCACTAAGAAGAATATATGCAGTGTATTATTTGTTGAAAAATAAAAAAAAAATAAAAAAAAAGAAGGAAATTCTTCTCAAGCCAGAAAGAAGTGGGTGGTTTTATAATAGTTTAGCTTTCAACAGCTAAGTGTACTTATGACAGAAAGCATAATAATTCAAATTATTATCAATAATTTTGTTTCAAAAGCCAAGGAAAAACAAAATGGAAGACGGGTTTGGTGATGCACTCCTGTAATGCTAGCATTCAGGAAGCTGAGGCAGGAGGTTCACTGCAAGTTTGAGGACAGCCTGAATTGCATAGTGATACCCTGGAATAGTGAGATCTTATCTCAAAACACAACAAAAAAGGAATACATCTGGAAATTTGAAAGTTCTCAGTATTATTCATCACGAAAGAAACAAATTTAGATGACCATGAGTACACTATATGGTGTTGCATCAAAATACAAGGTGGGCCAACCTGCTTCTAGTGGCTTCATATTTGTTGTAAGCCATTTGGTTGCCCTTACCTGACATAGCCTGTCTCTGTTTTCTGTTTTAGGTCAGCTGTTACTAGTATGGTGGGTTAAGACAGTTCTACCTTATAAGCACAGCTGCCTTCAGTTCAAGGACAAACAAAAGACAATCTCATTTGTTTACATATTTCAGTATTTGCCCAAAAGGTCCCAAGTAAATTCTGTGTGTGTGTGTGTGTGTGTGTGTGTGTGTGTGTGTGTGTGGCCAGCTCACCTTGCTCTGGGGGCGGGGCTGATGCCACATGTAGGGATGGAATTGCGGTCCCTAAGCTTGCCTAAGCTTGCATTAGCAGGCACTTTAAACTGCTATCTCACAGTCCCCCCTCCCCTGCCCCCAAGTAAATTCTTAGTGGTTATCACCACAGGAGGGAGGATCCAGGCTTCTTGATGGACTTGGGTGGGAAAACATGCAATTGTAAGAAAGTGTGATAGATAAGAAAACAGAGGACACCTTAGGAATGTCTTCCTCATTTCTTATCCCTGGCATCCTGTTGGTGTTTATTCTTCTCTAAAAAAATTCGTTTAAAGATATAATCTTTTCTTTTCTTTTCTTTTTCTTTTTCTTTTTTTTTTTTTTTTTTTTTTTTTTT